TATTAGTTATAGTTAAAGGACCCAAAAATGAACTGGAAAATGAGTCTTAAAAAGTCTCTGCTTTGCCTCTATCATGAATTTATGATCATGGCATGATGGCACTATGGTCTACTTTATGGCCCATGATATCAAGAAACATCTGCACTTCTGCACAATATTCCAAATTGGGCTGTGGGTGTGGCCCTTGGGGCCTGGGCCTCTGGCCTGTGGGAGTGTGGGGACTGGGGAAATGGGGGAGTCATAACTCATAACTCATATTCTCATAAGCATTCTCTTCTATTTTATAAGGCTTCAATAATCAAAAATATAGATGAATAGAAGATCAATATTCAAGACCTAAAATTCTAGATTCTAGACAATACATTTACTTTAATATGTGATGAATATTCTTTTGGGAAATAACCCTCATCTGAATTTATTGTAGGTAGCCGTAGCCCAAGTGCTACCCAAACCAATACTGGCAAAGTGGCAATAGCAATAATGACCCTGGTCCCTGTGGAGTGTGGGGTGCCCCGGTGCTGTGACGCTTGAGTCGAGACAGTAAGGAGTACCTAAGGAGCCTAAGGAGGCATAGGAATTAGACTTCAATTAGGATAGAAAGACTGTATTTGAAATTATGAAATAAATGCTATGAGTATGAAGCCAACACCATCGGGCATCAGATGAATCAGATCAGACTATCAGTGAAGTCATTTTCTTTTAGTCTAAAGACAAAGTGGTCAGGACCGTCAGGTAAATAATTACTAAGTAGCTAAGCCTGATTCCATTAGCATTAGGTAAGGTATATGACTTACCATTTTTGTTTAAGTTACGCGCGTCAGCCTCGAAACGCAATCAGATTTTACATTCTTCAATTTATCAATATACCATGAAGGCTGGGATTTTGACTAGGATCGTAGAATGCTACCGTAGAATTTCGAAATCGTTTTCAACAGAGCTAGGTAGGTAGTATCACGGAAATGTAGACAATCGGGGTAGGTACCTAACTACCTATCTGCAGAACGATTGTGTACGACGGCAGTGGCTGGGATACATCATGGGCATGAATAGTATAGTATACTAGTATAGTATCTTCGGCATTAAAGAATAGGCCTGGCCGCCTGGATAGGCCTGTCGCCGATTCTTGTACTTTTCTTGAGTCTTGACTAGACTGGCCTTTAGATCAGATCTTTTCAACGGACGGTAGATTAAAAATCGCTTCTAGATATCAGTTGTTCCGAAAGGTATGAGGCATTTTAAGACTAAACATATGCTCATGAAATCATTGAGCTATATCATTGATCTATATCATGGTTGAACTAGTAGGTTGACCCATGAGATGCTAATTTTCGCGGATAGAGCTTTTTGTTCCCCTGTGACGTCACTGATCTCAATGACGTCATGGGCATCAACCAATCACCGAAATGCGATTAAACCTGTCAACCAATCCGTCATGGGAATGACGGATTGGTTGACGTCACTGAGATCAGTGACGTCACAGGCGAACAACGAGCTATATCCGCAAAAATGGGCTTCTGATGGGTCAACCTTATAATAGTTCAACCAACAACCATGCATCATGGGGATACATGGTTGAAGCCGACATAAATCTTGGCAATATACAGACTTGATTTACTAATAGAATAATGGTAGCTGGGTGATAAATTTAATTTAGTGTTTAAAAAGTATGAAAAAATACAGCATCCTCAACAAGTTTACTCGGTTTATGAAAAATTCCCTACTAATCAGTTATGAGGCTTGTTTGTAAACTCAGCTTGTTTATAAGAACAAGAAATTGTATCATTTGTATGATCTCGGAGTTTTAGGATGTGAACAAAACTTCAATAAAAAATAACAGTTTACTAACGCGAGTACAAAGGCACAACATTTTACTCTTTAGGTATGATCAAATACATATAAATATTTCCTACGGTCAATAAAAAGTAAAAGAACATGCTCGACCACAACAAGAATAAGTGTTGGGAAGGCAGCGTCATGAGTAAATTTGTATGCGATAAACGCTTGTAAATCCGCGAGACAAAATAAAATCCCATCATACATAGTAATTAAGTACCATGTAAAACGAAACTAGGTTCAAAATACTGGAACGAAAATATCACAACACAGCAAAGAAAAAAAAATGAAAGCGCGTTTCACGTTGAGGTGCTCGATCTACCAATGTAATTGGTTTGCACGAACGGGTAGCATGGCTCGATTACAGATGTCCATCCTCTGCGGCAGTCGGGAGAAAAGTTTGAACAGCAGAACACAGCACGAACGAGAAGAAAAATCGTCGCCATTAGCAGGAAGCAGACGAGTGCCCGGCGTATCGTAACGATGGCCAAAGGTCGGATCGAGTAGCTCCGTCGCAGTTGTCTGAATTTTGTTTGCATCGAGTCTTGCCATCTGCGGAAAATGACTAATAAATCACACTGGAATATTAGATTTGCAAACAAAAATTTCTCGATGGGTGAGACGGTTTTTGAACAAGACTCTTCCTGCATCACTTCGCTGATTACATACGAATACATGTCCTAAATAAAATATTGTTTACTATCCGCAAAATTATTACTATTCGCATAAGTAGAATATTCCTCTATTTAACACTTGTAAACCAATTATGCAAAGACGACTTGACATAAATCTTAGGACGTACGTAGTAAACCTCTTTCTCGAAGGTTGCCCACTAGGTTCAGGGCAACTGGAGGCTTTATTAGCCAAGTTATTTGGTTGATCTTTGGCGCAGTGCAGCAATGGGGCGGTACGTGACTCGGACTCATCGCTGTTTTCGTCATCGCTAGTCGCCGACACGAGAGACGTTGCCCGCTGCCGAGGCAGGCGCTTGTCGAGAGCTTCTGTGCACGAGCTTTCGTCTTCCTCCTCAGAGATTTGGTTCGCTCTGTGAATAAAACTAATTGTAAGAATTCAGGGGATGCAAGCTATGAGTGTAAAGAAATTATACGAAATCTAGAACATTCCAAGGAAATACAGGTAAAATGAAGTCGCCTAAAGGACAAGTACCTAATTCGGTTCTCATTCGATTCAAGTTTGCTATTTATGCAGAGATAAAAAGTGCAGCGCAATAACTGAATAAGAGCTCAAATAAATATAACGGGGAATTAGTTGCAAATTTCTAGCGTACATAGCTTGGAAGATAATGTAGAGCGTAAAGCAAGGCTGTGGGATACAGGATCAGAAGTAATTCATGTTAAACACAATGCGCCTGATATAGTTAAGTACAACGTTAAGGTTTCGTGCAGTTCAGCTTAGTTAGAATATGAAATTCTATAAATCGCGTCTTGATTCAGTTCAAAAATTTCAATCAAAAGTTAAAATTGTCAAAATTCTAGAAAAGTTATTCGAAATTAAAATGTAAAAAAGGCAAATTTGAAATTCCTGCACACGTTAGTAATCCAAGCTAACGAACAGTATATTTGCAAAGCTTTCCAAACATAGAATAATATTGATATAGCCTTCTAAACCAATAATACTATGGAAATAAGTTTTAAAACTAAGGCACACATTGGTTCTTTGTACGAATAAATTATTCAAAATTAACATGAAGAGAGCAGCACATACTTATCAAGGTTTACAGGTGGCTGGAGCAGCGCTTTCGAGGAGTTCATGTCGGAGGCCAACGCAGCGAGGGCTTCAAGGCTGAGGGAGCCGCGCCGAGCAGGTCGTGAGGGCGCGACGACGCTGTTACGACGTTGTAAAGTTGGTTTTTTGGTGACAACGTCTCCAGTAGAGGATGGGGTGAAGTCAGGCACGCTCACAATGCTGAAGTCAAACAAGACACATTTAGGGACTTTCAAATGAATTGGTTGAAAACCTTTAAGAACCTATGAGTGAGTTGGTTGAAAATCATGGTCTAAAATATTTTCAAACCTATGAGTGAATTGGCACCATTATGGTTAGAGAAAATAGAGTTAGGACTAGTGACAAGCTATTAGATGCGGAAAATAGAACTCACTCCTATCCTAACAAATGAGCAATAGATATTGTGCAAAATAATGTCATAATAATTTAAATAAATAAATAATAGCTTCGTTGCATATTAGGACTTAATGAGATCATTCATAAGGTTTAATAACTACCATGCATGTAAACACTTTGAAATTTAAATCCCTGAACAGTTGGAAAACAGATGCTAAGGAGCCACGAGAATGCAAATAAGAATTAAATACAGACAAAGTAATAAGTGTGTAATTTACGTTCAGGAAAATGATTCTTTGTTTCAAATCAAATTTAACTTTCGATTAGAGATCCACTATTCCATAATATTCTAATCCATTATTAAGTTTCAAGTTAATTCTCGTACCATCTTTCGCAATAAAAACAGAGTAAATGGAAGATTAAATTCACAACTGTCGAACATGGTGCACATGCAGTTTTCATTCATTATTTTTACTGCACAAAGATAAATAACCGAGGATATAAAATGTCAACGATAACAAGTAAGAACATCAACTGGATAAGGAACGGAAGATTCATAAACAGGGGAAACACAATGAAAAGTGACATTAGCAGAATAATAAAGCAAGATCTCATAAATAACCTTGATAGCTGGCGTATCTGCAGGAGTGCCTGCTGATGCCGCTGCACCACCAGCCTAGTGTAGGCCTGCAGCAGTTCTACAGTGCGTGAGAAGTGCCACTCCTGCTGCACCGCCGCCCACTGCTGCGAGGCGTCCACCACACCGTCCACGGCCACCGCCACCACCGCCACACAACGCCGCACTGACGACACTTCTGGCCACTCGTTTGTGCTCTCCAGCTCCTGCACAATTACCTTCATTGATGATTACGCTCATTGATAATTATTTTTATTCATGCTGGATTACGCTAATTGATAATCATGTTCATTCAAGCTGAATTAGGCTTTTGACAATCATGTTCATTTAAGCTGAATTGCGCTCATTGACAATTATGTTCATTCATGTTAAATTGAATTTATTTATAAATGCGCTCATTGAAAAATACGTTCATTCATGCTCCTAGCTTCTAGTAATGTGACCCGTTCCCATAATTATAGAGAAGATCTAAGATGGCCCAGATATCAGACACACAGAAACTATAAAATATAACTGAAGCTTTAAATTTCGAATTATAAAAACATACGACATTAAAAATCAACTAATGTAAGCTCTCATTTGATTTGCAACATAAATAGCTTTTAAGAACCGCTATAGTGAGCTTTTAACCAAAAATAATCCTACAAACGACGATAAGGACTTTTTCCAACGTAAATAAATCGCCTCTCCTAAAAAAACAGCAATGAGGATTTTTCGTAACAAAAATAAATTTAAAAACGGCAGTAAGATTAGACTCTGAAAATAGCAATGAGGAGTTTCCGCAAAATAAATAAATGTAAAAAAACGGCAGAAAGATTAGACTCTGAAAACAGCAAAGAGGATTTTTCGTAACAAAAATAAACATTAAATATCAAAAAACCGCAGTACGAAGAGGCTCTGACATCGAGGCAGGAGTGGAGGGCAGCGAGCTCGGTGAGGTAGGAGGTGAGGGAAGTGTCGCGCTGTCGCTTGAGGACCTCAAGCCGTCGTGTGAGGGTCAGGCGGTCCATTCGCACGCACAACTCCACGCGCCTGAACGCCCTCTGTCAATACATGCGCTCATCTTTAGAATTAACCGGTAGATTGACAGGTACGAGCCTAGCAGTGACATGTACTTCAGTATTGACGAGTATATTCTTCATTTTGAATGAGCGGTTAAGAGTAAGCGAACATTGATAGACAAGACTACACGCGGATGAAATCAGCGGCCATATATCACTTGGGATAAATCAAAAGGGATAAAATTAGAGGTGAAAAAACCAATTGGGAAAAATTAGTGTGGATAAAACAAACGGGGATAAAATTAGTGGGGATAAAACTTATAGGTATGAAGCGGTGACGATAACAACAGCATGATGCTCACCTCCAGTTCGTCCTCTGAGAGCTCAGCGATTCTGCACAAACATACAAGAGAGTGAGGACGCTGGCAGCCATTAGAGGCAGAAAAACATGCATGAAAGTTGGCAGATCAAACTGAATATATTTTAAGAAAACAAATACGTTGTTGAATGAGAATATTTGGTTTGATGCTTAAAGCTCAAAAAATTGCTTGCAATATAGTGTACGGCAGAACTTAAAAGAACGAAATCGGGTCAACTGCACCGAAGTCTAGACGCTTCGAACCAAAAAAATCATAAGCTACTAAAAGAAACTGAAAGCAGTTCAGCAAAAATCTATAATAAGAACTGCTGCTGTAGCTCTCATCTCAACCGCATTGTGTAATCCACAAGGCGAGGGTACCAAATATTATAATAACCTATTAATAAAGTTAACAACTTTAAATTAAATGAAATAACCAATCGATTAAATTAGCTTTCAAAGAAAGTTCTAAAAAATAGCTAAACAACTCACACAGCCAAGGGAGGTATTCCAGCTGACTCGATGAGCTGACCCATGGCGAGGAGAGGAGGCACCTGAGGCCACGATTCTGAACAACTGACGTCTGTTTCATCAGCACACACAGCAACGTCAGCTTTATCAGCACGCACGACGTTACTTGCATCAGCACGCACGACATCAGTTTTTTCAACACGCACGATGGCGTCAGCACAGGACAGATAATCGTCTCCGGTGTCGTTGGGCGACGACGAATCTAGAGGCTGACGTGTCGTAGCGTCTTCGTATTCGTGAGAAGGCATTTGTTTTGGTTTGTTAAGAGGCATGTCTTGGGGCTGGTTAGATTGATTTAGTCTTCGTCTGACGGATATATCATCTTTATAAGAGTTGTCTGTTTGAACTAATGTACTTATATCGGGAACAGGTACAGGAGAGTCTGATGACTCGCACTCCAGTGCTTTGCACTCCTGCGTATACCAGAAAATATGAGCTTAATACATCAAGAATTAAAAATATACATTCGAGTGTTAAAAGAAAGGCGCCAAGAATTGATGACCATTTAAGTAGACTAAATTAATGGGGTAACCTAGTACAGCCGATAGAAATGCCCTAACTCATGTATTTTTCACCTATTTGTAAGTCAATTGCACCTGAATTATCGATCTTGTATGATTTTAATTAACAATGAATAGTTCAATAAATAATAAATTGGACCAGTGGTAGCAATTTTGCATCGATTAGCCTATGCAAAAATAGATCTTAAAAAGATAGGACCAAAATAAGATATGCATTGACGCGCTTCTAATCAGGTCAACGTATCTCATTCTTATCAGCATTTAATTAATCAAGTGATCAAGTTGTTCATCTAATTTAGTTTGGCTCACAACACTGACCATTAAAGTGGCGGGCGGTCCGCTGCCAGACGTCGCTAGTGTCGCTTTGCCGGACCTGTGGTGTGGATGAGGGTGGTGATGGTGAGAGGTGATGTAGCGGGAGATGATGCGGGGAGGTAATGAAAATCCAGACTTGAATAAACAGAGAAATTTGAAAAAAAATATGAGCCAATCCTCGTGAGAAATCGATCAGGATTTAATATCGGAAAATTGGACCCATGCATGAAAAGTGACTAAAAACTAAACAAAAACTTTAAACGCGCGAACACAATTTGCATAGGAAATTGGTATAAAACAATATTGTGTACAAACAATAAAAAATAAATGAAGCTTATAAGGAATATCTTGTGTGCTGAAGCGTTGTTAGGACGCCATGTCTCTGACGAACTAACGCTCACCTGGAGACGTCAAACTTCTTGTATGGCAGCATCTTGGTGAATAAAACCCATAGGAAAATAAAACTAAAACTTGTATAAAATACAACTATACGCAACATCAAAAATACATCTGTAACTTTACACTTATTATAGTAGGTTTCTTCATCTCAAACTGCAAGAATAAGTTTCAACATCGATCCTAATTTGATTGTGTCTCGTCAGTTCACTATATTTTTTTCTCTAATGAAACTCTTCTGTTCCTTATGGACGAGAGCTACCAGCAGCTGCAATTAACAGCATAGCAGCTGCAATTAACAGCATAGCAGCTGCAATTAACAGCATAGCAGCTGCAATTAACAGCATAGCAGCTGCAATTAACAGCATAGCAGCTGCAATTAACAGCATAGCAGCTGCAATCAACAGCATAGCAGCTGCAATTATGTTGTTTAAAATCGTAACTTCAATAGTCTTCAGAAGGTCTAATGAAGCTCTTTATCACCGCCTTTATCGTCACATTGTGCAAGTAGCGCCATTAATAACACATATAATTTTAACCTGTACACTATTTATCTTATTCTATCAATCAGATAGAATAAGAATATTAATTATTATAAGGTAAAAGACGTAATGAGGAGGCAATTAAGACAAGATATAAGGCACAGAAGGCCTTGAAGCACAGCCTTCCCTCACTCAGGGAAATGGGCAGGACTTTGTCCAAATATAAATTCACTTCTTGCTCACGTGGGTCATCCAAATCCAATTTTTACCCGGCAAAGAGCGTATCAGTGCTACGTGCAGAAAGTTTGTTACTATTTGGACAATTTGACTCATTACTTTTATTGTGTCCACAGTACAAGGGACGCGTTACGAGGCTAAACAATGAAGAGACAACTTAATACAGATTTATAATATAATATTCTTAATATTATTATATTAGGAATATATATTGTAATAGCTACGAAATAGAATGATTGTGGCGCCACACTCAATATATAATCTACATTTAGCACCACGACAAGTCTACTGTCGATGAATTTATATTTCTGTGACTGTACAACCAGTCAAAAAATCCGACATAACATTGCTTGACAATTTACTGTAGACCAAAAAATAACCGAATTCGCGTAACGTTCGTGGTAATGGTAATATTTAAGGTAATGGTAATTTTTGATACAAGTCAATTATTGGTGGTGAATAATACTAATATTGAAGTAGCCCAATTAGTTCTCTAATATCGAACAATTCCAGACGATTGGTGTTGCATAACTGGAGCCATCATAGCCTGAGGGAGGCATCGAGGGAACGCTGCTGGTGCTCGCAGGAGTCCTGAGCGTTGAGCGCTGACGATGAAGGAGTGCAGGGCGCTGAGCTCACGTGACCGTCCAGCAGGGCAAGACGTGTTGGTTTGAAATCGTATTCGTCGCTGTCGATATCGTCGTCTTTACGCGGACTCGTTAACAAATTCGAGCTCAGCCTTACGTCACCATCGGAGCGCGAGAAGCACGACGCGTCCTGAGCAAGAGGCGATCGCTGCGCGGAGAACGCAGGCCGGGGGGTGAGGAAGGGCGTGCTGCCGCCGCTGCTGCGTCGGCTCCTGGCCGCTGAAACTTCGTGGGGTAAATCGAGGGAAGTGTGCGAAGATCCCCACGGGGAAGTGTCCGGAGGTGTATAGTATACGGGGGAGTTGAGAGGAGAAACTTCTGAGGTGCCTGAGGACCGACGTCGCGTGAGGAGCGCCCATGCGGCGGTGGGTAATGACAGTGAGTCGCGCCTCGGTTCACTGCGCGCTGAGTCACCAGACACGGCAGACGGAGGCCCATTGTCCTCACATGAATTTTGGTTCATGAGCTTCGTGTAGAGCTTGGCAAGTTGTAGTGGCCGACATTGCGACAGCGGAAGGCTGCTGAAAGCGCCTCTTGAATGACTATCTTTCGAGTCGTCACTTCCCTTGTCGAGCGTAATCAGAGGCTCGCTCTCAGAGTCCAATATAAAAGGCTGCAAAGTCGTTGAGGAAGAGACCGAGACATCGGTCTCTTCTTGGCTATTAAGTCGCCCACGTCCCTCTAAGTCCCGGAAGAAGCTACTTCTCCTGGCAGCGATAACAGGATGATCGGTCATAGACTGCGCCACGGCAGCACTGGCAGTATCGGGCAGAGATAAAGGTTCCTCATTTGATTTAGAAATCATATCGTCTGTGCAGTGCGAAGGACTGCTTTCAAGGATAGGCGGTGATGACACGCTGCCCCACAAAAAGCTAATGGATTCCTCGTCATTGAACAAGTCGGAAATGCGTGGCAAGGGAGAAGATGAGAAAGGAGACCCTGGCGATTGCAGCACCAAAGCCTGCGACGTGATGGACGAGGGTGACATCAAGGGCGTGATGCAGCTACCAGAACTGCTCTCGACCGGTGAAGAATAATCTTTGTTTAACCCAAACAACCCAACATCAGGCACCTCACGAGGAACATTATCTTTCGTTGGGTTAGAGGTATGGTCTGTAAAGTGGACAGGAGTAGGGACAGACTGGGATAGTATTGACTGGCATGAATTAGTGATAGCCACGCGATGTTGTGCCGCGACAGCATCAAGTTGTGTGGGCGGGGCAGTGGTGCGAGAGCGAGGGGTTATCGAGGGCGAGTCCTCACGTTCTTCGTGAAGCACAGAGAGCTTGCGGGTCATCCTTGCAGCATGAAACAACAAGTCAAATGAAAACGAGAAACGTTTGTGCGAAGACAGTCTAGTCTCACCTGTAGACCTCTAATTGGTCTCACCTGTAGACCTCTAATTGGTCTCACCTGTAGACCTCTAATTGGTCTCACCTGTAGACCTCTAGCTGATCGTAAGCCGGTTTAGGGGAGTAGAGGCTTAGCTGCTCTCTAGCATCGTAAGCTGCTTCCCCAGAGTCCAGATCCTGTCGAACATAAATTAATTAACGTATTTAATATTCACCAGACTGCAAAATTTTTAGTTAAATCATCAACCACCATGAAATGCATGATCATCAGATCTCAGCATGAAGATGCTGATGCAGGGCGCAAATTAAAATAATAATACAACTCAGTACTCACTGCAGTGAGTGACTGAAAGCGCATTTTCTCGTCGACGAAAACGTGAAGTCACGGACAGACGGACGGACAGACATACGGACATGACGAGCACAATAGCGCCTTTTTTCCATAAATGAGAAAATGCGATAAAAAATGTATGCCCGTAGACACAGTCAAAGAATAAAGACAATGAACAACGGGAAACATCGTTGACATACAACTGATGTACAAAAACAAGCACTATATAATAAAGTAGTAATTTGAATACGTACACTTGAGAATTTAGAATAATCACTCACGGCAGAAGCAGGGACCAAAGGCGCCTCGCCCACCGTTAAATCCCAGTCGTCTGTGCAGGGAAAGCAGAGCACAAGGTTAAGGCTAGGAAATCATACAAAATTATCGACTGTTTGAGCAATTCGTAATCCTCGACAGTTGACTTGAGTTTTTCATTTGGACAATAAACAATTCATTTATTTGAGTATAAAGATGACAATGCAACGTCACTTGCCAGGAGCAGATGCAGGAAGAGAGGTTGTCTGCACTGCAACACTGCACCACCTGCTGGCATCACCTGCAACGTCATCATTAATTAGTAATTAGTCCCATGAACATTATTAACGAAATCCTTATGAACGCAATGTAGCTGGTATAACTTTTGAATAACGCGTTACATATTAACGCAGCATCGTCAAACATTTTGAAACCCTAAGTGTATTAGTATAGCGGTGTTAGCGTTTATTAGGCCGTTGGCCTGTCACCGATTCTCAACATCGCAGAACATTCAGTTTGTTGCGGCCTCGAACACGCAACTCACTGCTTCAATTCTGCTGTGCTTAACCGCCCGGCCTCCTCGCCGATTCTGACTAGAAACTGTTGCACAGGTAGCTGGGATCGAACCCTCACCTTTCTGCTCAATTTTTTTTATACCTTCTCTGAACTGTAACCATGCACTGGGCCACCCTGCCCCAAATTGAATTGATTGTCATAGCAAATTTTACGTCTAACTGCAAACTGAATTCATAGGCTGGCAGCTGCAATCGAGGCTAAGCGTTATGTGTGTTATCCTGGTAGGCTATAACAGCAATAAAAGCCACAATAGAACTCAAAAGCAGTAATACGGACTCGACAGCAATAACACGGACGGACGGTAGGCATTTAATGCGACCACAAAGCACACGGCATGTAGCTTGGCAGCTCAGGTATACGTGCGTTCCCAGCTAGAGTTACGTACATAGGCCAGCACGCTCGCTCTAGCAGGTATGGAGCTTTAGTTCAGTAAAAATAAGAGGCAGCTTATAGATGGCCGAAGGTAAGTCAGCATTAATTCAGAAATGCAGAATAAAAATTAAGTTAGCGAGAACTCAATACACTGTCGTGAATTTTTAGCAGATCATAAATAAGCGGTAATAAATACGTGATCAGTTTGCAGCCTGAGAACTACTGACAAAAATGAATACCGTACATGCAAGAAAAAAAACATTAAAATTCCAAACACATAATCGCGACATTCGTAGGCACTTCACAGCAGAACATCGCTAGGTATCCACGAATTAATTACTACGAAGCAATTTATATTTTCAAACGAATACTTTTTTCAGTAATGCATAAATGAAGTGCAAACAATTTGATCACATTTGCTTGAGCAGTATATTTTTCCTGAGTTAGAGCTGATTATATTATGGATTTTCTTCACACTCCAATAATATGACAGGAGTTTCACTGCAAGACACATTAAGCTGGTCTCATGAACGAGGTGAATGCGCCGAGTGGACTAGCAACTGAACAGAAGCTATAAGACCGCCACCCAAATAAAGCCCACACAAGTTCTTGTGTCTGCACCAATACAAGCACATCTTTGAGGCAACGCAAAGCTAGAGGAATTGCATGGCTGCCATTTACGTATTCCTAAACCTGCACTCAAGGCTAGACGGAAGCACGAACTGCAGAACGCTATTAGTCACAGAAAACCAAAGCTTTCCAAAACCTATCACAATCATATTGTAACGTTGCAAGTGACCGCGAAATCATACATTCCACGGAAGTTCGACGAATAACTTTAGTGAAGTTCACGCACCTAAATGACTTGCTATACCATGACATGTTCGTTGAGCACGTGACATGAGAAGTAATTATGGAGCGGCGGCGTGACCAGCCATACGATAACGCGGAGAGAGAGCCGCAGCTCGCGACGTGATGGTCGGCACGAGACTGCATCAGAGGCTCAAACTCGAGTGCCTTGCAGAAGGCACTCGTGAGGCAAGTGCCGCCTCCTCTGAGGCACGCATGAGGCAAGTGCCTCATACCCAAGGGCGCGAGCCTCCTCCATGAGGCACGCAAGAGGCAAGTAATTTTTATTATTGGAGTGTGTGAAGTTTCGGACCTTGCAATAAGTTTTCGGGCCTTGCAAAGTTGCAATAAGTCTTCGGACCAGGCCATAAGTCCAGCAGTTACCTCAATCAATCGTCAGTTATGGAAAGATCGGGTTCCAAAGGCCGGTTCCCTTGTGAATCAAGTCACGAAAAATTCAAGAATCGGCAACATTTCATGGGCCTATTTCTTCAGTGCCGACACTTATATTCTATGTGCTTCCTCCCATTGGGGCAATCGTGAAGCAAGTGCTTACTCCCCCTGGGGCATGCATGAGGTATGCACCTCCATCCCCCCAAGGAGCGCTACATCAACACACTCTAGGGATGCAGCGCACAACACCCCGTTGTTGTGTGCGTGTCGAGATCTGCTCGACGCTACAGAACGCAAGCATCCCAGGCTATCAAAACCACATCCCCGGTGCGCGGTACTTTAACAGAAATGATTAAAACTGACCACATAGCGACGCAGTTTTTGCTCTTATGTGGGTCATCCTGACTCAATTTGGTCATACAAAAGGGCGTATCAGTGCTACGTCGGCTCTCTACACCTGATGTGAGTAAGAAAATGTGTCACTCACTATTCAGACACTATGACCTATTTATTTTCCTGATCGAGATATTCTTTCCTGATCGAGATATATTCTTGTTCTTGACCGTACACGTACCTACGTGTCAAGGTAGTACAATAATAACGGCACTAGAACAAAAAGCTGAAAAGCTGAAAAAAGCTAAATAGTTTTGAGCGATCGCAAAAACTCGTTGAGTGGGCATCCGGTCATTTTTTATCGTCATTTTATATTGTTTGATCTAATCAACGGAAAATGTTTGAATTGGCGTTTGTGTCTTGAACGTTTTTTATTCGAATGAATTTCAGGTGAGAGAGTAGTCCTTATCGTAATAAAAGAAAAGTAAAACAATCGCATTGCCTACATAAGTAATTTCGTAAACCTCAAGGAAATGGCAGCAAATCATAAAATTTCAGATAACAATCAAAGATACAGATTAAGGACTGAATATAATAAAGCGCTATGTATTGAAAACGTATTGAATATACGGTGAGATACAAAACGTATCTAATGCACGGTGAGGAGTAACAATACATCCTAAAATATGGCTAACCTGCCTTTAATATATACACCATCTACCGACTAATGTTGAGCAGCACACACATTCACTCACACGCATAAATAGTATGACGCCTTTTGACATTGCATTAAAAATATATCTATACATTGCTTCTGGCTAACATTTGTCTTAGTAATCAGACAAATCTTGTGTCAAGCATACAATTGCTCACGAGCCGCCAAATGAGTGAATTAACAATTCAAGTTCATTGACCAGCAAAAGGAGGCAGAAAACAGTGGAAGATTGGTGCAGAAATGTGCAGCATTAAGAGTGATTTACATCACAGCATGGTGAGAGAACCCCCCACGTACCTGCACACTCCGTAGCATACGTTAGGTACTTACCCGCAGCATTGAGAGTGATGCCTCCAGCATGATCAGCATGACAGGCTTGTACGGCAGCATCAGACCGTCGTGCTGCAGGAGACTGCCAGGGAGAGTTCTGCAGGGCCGGCCCCTGCAGAGAGGTAGGGTTTTAGGATACACTGAGCTCTGCAGGCCATACACTGAGCTCTGCAGGCCATACACTGCGCTCTGCAGGCCATACACTGCGCTCTGCAGATCATACAGTGAGCTATGCAGGCCATACAGTGAGCTCTGCAGGCTATACACTGAGCTCTGCAGGCCATACACTGCGCTCTGCAGGCCATACACTGCGCTCTGCAGGTCATACATTGAGCTCTGCAGGTCATACATTGAGCTCTGCAGGCCATACACTGAGCTCTGCAGGCAATACACTGCGCTCTGCAGGCCATACAGTGAGCTCTGCAGGCCATACACTGAGCTCTGCCGGTCATACATTGAGCTCTGCAGGTCATACATTGAGCTCTGCAGGTCATACATTGAGCTCTGCAGGCCATACACTGAGCTCTGCAGGTCATACATGGAGCTCTGCAGGTCATACATGGAGCTCTGCAGGTCATACACTGCGCTCTGCAGGCCATACACTGCGCTCTGCAGGCCATACACTGCGCTCTGCAGGCCATACAGTGCCTGTCTCTTATACACATCTCGCGTTACANGCTCTGCAGGCCATACACTGAGCTCTGCAGGCCATACACTGAGCTCTGCAGGCCATACACTGAGCTCTGCAGGCCATACACTGAGCTCTGCAGGCCATACACTGAGCTCTGCAGGCCATACACTGAGCTCTGCAGGCCATACACTGAGCTCTGCAGGCCATACACTGAGCTCTGCAGGCCATACACTGAGCTCTGCAGGCCACACACTGAGCTCTGCAGGCAACACTATGAGCTCTGCAAGCTATTCTCTATCAAATCTAATGAATGCGTTTTAATGGAGGCTGTAAAAAGAGCTGCGGCCACTGGCGTTCACACAGGAAAAAAAATGAACAGAGAAGCCCTGATGCGCCTGAGAAAGACCCAAGCAAGCAACTTAATTCATGTAATATTAGTTCAATCATGTTTCACCGGCTTGCTTTTCAACGCCGATCCCAAGATTGAAGCTCATATTATCATACTAACTTATGAAATTAAACAGACATCTTTCATCTCGGAGATTCCAGGCGTTAATCTTATTAATTCAAGCAAACGGCACTTAGTGAAGTAACGATGGTATAAATTATTCCAATATATTCGAAAAAAAATTCAAAAAGCTTATAATTAAAAAATGGGTTCCTAAATTCCTTTCAATAGACAGATGTTATTGATATTTACCTTCAACTGACAAACTGATTCTCCACGCGGAACACGTCACTACGCAACACTACACGTCACCACGAAACACTACACGTCACTACGCAACACTACACGTCACTACGCAACACTACACGTCACCACGAAACACTACACGTCACCACGAAACACTACACGTCACCACGCAACACTACACGTCACCACGCAACACTACACGTCACCACGCAACACTACACGTCACCACGCAACACTACACGTCACCACGCAACACTACACGTCACCACGCAACACTACACGTCACCACGCAACACTACACGTCACCACGCAACACTACACGTCACCACGCAACACTACACGTCACCACGCAACACTACACGTCACCACGCAACACTACACGTCACCACGCAACACTACACGTCACCACGCAACACTACACGTCACCACGCAACACTACACGTCACCACGCAACACTACACGTCACCACGCAACACTACACGTCACCACGCAACACTACACGTCACCACGCAACACTACACGTCACCACGCAACACTACACGTCACCACGCAACACTACACGTCACCACGCAACACTACACGTCACCACGCAACACTACACGTCACCACGCAACACTACACGTCACCACGCAACACTACACGTCACCACGCAACACTACACGTCACCACGCAACACTACACGTCACCACGCAACACTACACGTCACCACGCAACACTACACGTCACCACGCAACACTACACGTCACCACGCAACACTACACGTCACCACGCAACACTACACGTCACCACGCAACACTACACGTCACCACGCAACACTACACGTCACCACGCAACACTACACGTCACCACGCAACACTACACGTCACCACGCAACACTACACGTCACCACGCAACACTACACGTCACCACGCAACACTACACGTCACCACGCAACACTACACGTCACCACGCAACACTACACGTCACCACGCAACACTACACGTCACCACGCAACACTACACGTCACCACGCAACACTACACGTCACCACGCAACACTACACGTCACCACGCAACACTACACGTCACCACGCAACACTACACGTCACCACGCAACACTACACGTCACCACGCAACACTACACGTCACCACGCAACACTACACGTCACCACGCAACACTACACGTCACCACGCAACACTACACGTCACCACGCAACACTACACGTCACCACGCAACACTACACGTCACCACGCAACACTACACGTCACCACGCAACACTACACGTCACCACGCAACACTACACGTCACCACGCAACACTACACGTCACCACGCAACACTACACGTCACCACGCAACACTACACGTCACCACGCAACACTACACGTCACCACGCAACACTACACGTCACCACGCNATCATCACAGTGTGGTGTTATATGCATCATCACAGTGTGGTGTTATGTGCATCATCACAGTGTGGTGTTATATGCGTCATCACAGTGTGGTGTTATATATGCATCATCACAGTGTGGTGTTATGTGCATCATCACAGTGTGGTGTTATATGCGTCATCACAGTGTGGTGTTATATGCATCATCACAGTGTGGTGTTATATGCATCATCACAGTGTGGTGTTATATGCATCATCAGTGTGGTGTTAAGTGCATCATTACAGTTTGGTGTTATATGCATCATCACAGTGTGGTGTTTTTTCTATCATCACAGTGTGGTGTTATGCTGTCTCTTATACACATCTAGATGTGTATAAGAGACAGGTGTGGTGTTATATGCATCATCACAGTGTGGTGTTATATGCATCATCACAGTGTGGTGTTATGTGCATCATCACAGTCTGGTGTTATGTGCATCATCACAGTGTGGTGTTATATGCATCATCACAGTTTGGTGTTATATGCATTATCACAGTGTGGTGTTATGTGCATCATCACAGTGTGGTGTTATGTGCATCATCACAGTTTGGTGTCATATGCATCATCACAGTGTGGTGTTATATGCATCATCACAGTGTGGTGTTATGTGTATCATCACAGTGTGGTGTTATATGCATCATCACAGTGTGGTGTTATATGCATNGTCACGGCAATGTTTCTACTCAAGTACTTTCGCACAGCCGTAGTTAAAACCTTAATAATAATTATACATGAATTTGGGCATTTTGCCAGTAGAATCTTGACTAAGGTTGGTTCATTTATATCTTCACAGGGACGCATGACTGAGCGTTTTTGTAGTACACTGAGTATCAAGCGTAACGCTCGTTGTACGTTCTACTCCATGCATTTGATCTTACGCAAAACAAAAATGTACTTTAACACGTAATTGTCAATAAATTGATCTGTAAATAGACACAGTTAAGGACCAACTAGCGAGCACAGCATCAAGCTGGTCAAGCACAGCAATAACCTTCAGCTGCTCCTATTAAGCTTATCTTTAAACGCTGAACTATTCACAATGCACTGTGTCTAAAGGATTTACCGATCGAGGGGTGCTGGATCCGTTCAATTCGATACCGTGACTTTCTAGTAATAGGTAGCTGTAGTATTGTTATAGCTAGTAAAATCAATATCTTTTTATTATACTTTGATTGAGGAGTTAAATGAATTAGTTACGCAACTTGAACCATCTTCAGCGAGCCGTAGCACTACAACAACACGTGGTCATGAAAATGTAGTGACCGTTCAGGTAAATAACGTTGAAAGAGCGTTAAAAATACGCAAATTTAACTTTAAAACACTCGATCAATGATGATTAAACGTCAAACGGTAGCGTGACTTTACGCATGTGAAGGCGTCACGCAACATTCTTTAACATTCATACTCGACATCAACCTAATGAACTATGACCCCATCCAAAAAACTAGAATTCGGTACAATGTTAATAATGATGACACATTTCCATTATTCATGTCATTGTCCGATCACGACACGATCGCAATATGAAAACATATCCATCACTCAAAGTAAATACGCTTTATTTAAATACAATTACCGTAAATAAAAATAGCCTACAAGTTTATTACAAGTTCGATGCCCAGCAAAGCAGCTGCGGAGAGGTTGCTCTCAAAGGGTCGATATTCGGCACAATTCAGCCCACTACCCAACACTCGCTAACGTTCCAGATGTATAACTTATTTAACGAGTGTGAAGTCTTTACAAGACAAACGGCTATCGTGGTCATAATGGAAGAGACAGTCCCGTGTCCTAACTATGACAGGACCAGCAGCTCAGCGCACACCAACGTCACGCGACGGCGTCTAGCGCGGCACTGGCTCTTCCAGCTCACCTGAGTGGCCAGCGCTGCGGCCACGGGATGTATGACGTCTTACCCCATTTATTCACCCCATTACACGTTCATTTGAATACATCAATGTTGTACACATACTAATAATTTCGTGTGTGATTCTAGATAAAGAAATTGTCAAATGTAAAAAAAAAGGGAAACAATATGGGAATGTTAAGCTATGTGTGTCAAGGGTTGCAACACAAGGGGCGGGGTGCACGTGTGCAACACATGGGGCGAGGGTGCATGTGTACAGGTGTCTTGCAGCGCATGCAACATGCAGGGTACACTCAGAGAAATCAGTGAAACTTTGTAGCAATATCGATGCCTCTTTTTCCCTGTGGGTCATATCCTGACCCAGTTCAGCCCAGAAAAAGGTTGTTTTAGTGCTAGTTGCAGAAAATTCGTCACTAAGTGGACAATTTGAATCATTTATTTCAAGTGAGTGTAGCATGTAACATGTTACGACGCTAGCGAATACAAGCGGAGTGAATAAAACAGTGATTTAAAAAACACTGACTAGGATTCAGTGGAAGACAAGGTAATTAATATGTTGGTTGTAAATACCGTAGACTTTCTTGCATCAGCCGTCGAAACAAAATCTATTTGTTCTTTTGAATTTGAAACAGCACAGACCAGGAACTCGAGAGTGAGTGCCGGACCAGAGAGTGAGTACTGAACCAATTAGCACCTCAAATCTCCATCAGAAGGTCTTGTATACCAGACTCTTGGATTTGGGCTCCAAGAGATCGTAGGTAGACTTGCCCATAGACGCCTAAGGGACTGAGCACTCCGAAAGCGGCGCAAAAGCGCAACCGTGGACTCGGAAGTCCTTAACTCGACGTAAGGACATAAGTTAGACATTGACTTACCGGACAAGCAGAAGAGCAGGTAACCTGCGGACACTCACTGACCTGCCCAAGAAAGAGGCGAGTACAGGTCGCAGTGTCCACCACAGATGCAGGTGCAGGCAGCGACAAGCTCTTGGGGAGCCGGCGTACCGCTCCATGTAGAGTTCCTGCGTTAGAATGAGGAAATATTATATATTTTATAATATTTTAAAATAATATTTCATCCGAACTCTCTTGGAGAAAGTGACACTACAAAACCTAAGTTCCAGGGAAGAAACTACGAGGAAGCGTATCAGCAGTGGATTATTACAATGCCACAAATCATCTTCTGCTCGGTTATAAGCTTATCACAAACCATTTCTTCCTTTAAAAACCTACTATGTTATTAGGTTCAAAGGTAATTAACAATTATTATAGTCTATTATCATTCCATAACAGGACGACGATATAAATTAACATAAATAATTGCACCGAGATAGAACTTGAACAGAATTTCATTTGCAACAATGTCAAAATTTCCTCATACATCTTACCCTTTTTTGATAAAGTTGACCATCACTGAACGGTTTCATTGGACCTTCACCAGACACCAGACTCCAGTCCATGGAATCGTCCGCTTCGATATCGCGGTCCAAGCCGTACGGTAGCATAGAGTCGACGTCACTTGCTCCTTCACAACAAAATTTGAGGTCTTTGTTGTCCAAACCATCGGTGTTTGAAGCCAGAGAAATGGGCTCAAGAGAGACAACATCCACGTTAGACCATGACTCACGAGGACTAAAAAATTTTCCGCTGGAAGGCCACGGATCCGTAAGCTTCATGGATGAACCAGAACTCTGAGCCTCACTAGAACCTATAATTGGTACAAGAGAAAGCAACGGAGGCGTGAGCACCATAGGTGAACCAGAACCTGGAGCTTCACATGGACTAATAATATGTCCGCTGGAAGGTAACAGTTGCGGGGGCACCATAGATGATCCAGAAGAAAGCTGTAACGCTGCAAAATACTGCGCGTTTTGTTCAGAAACTCCGGACGTGATTTCGACAGAAGTCTTTCCCAAGTTAGAGGAAGATAAATTCAATTTTTCGGCATTGCCCGAGCCATACGGCGAAACGTCATCGTTCAGCGAAAACATATCTGTTGAAGGTTTCATTAGCCGGGTATCAAGCCGCAAAATTACAGGCACGCTGCCATGATTGCTTTCAACTTCGACTTCTTCGCTGCAAGAAGAAACAGACGCTCCTGGTTGAAGCTCGCAGTGGCTTTTAGTCTCTGACGCACGATTCTGTGCGGGAGAATTCAGAAGCTCCATTTCTAAAACGGATCCTTGAAGCACATGACGGAACTCGAAGTCAATCAATTCGTAGTCTTCTTCGCCGCCCAGATCAAAGTTTTCGAGGTTCGCAGAAGTTGCCATAGTTTCAGACATAACGCCGGGGTGCGCTATCAGCTTATTTATATTACAGCTCCCGTTGTGCTGCTGGTCCATTGGATCACATCGGTATTGTATAGAATTTTTGTTGTCCTGAAACTCCTCATGGTTTGCTGTTCCATCCCGATGACAATCTTCAAAATTCTCCTTGTGATCTGAAGTATAACGTAGGTCTTTACTTGATTTCTGCTTGTGGCCTGTCAAGTCCAAAAGGTGACACGTGTCATTCTGAGGTTGATGATCTTTAGTGGTTATATCTCCCTGCAGTTCAATCACTTGTGACTTATTGGCATGGACTATAACATTATACTCAGGTAGGCGAGGGATTATCGTCGCTCTTCTGTCGTTGGTTGGTGAGCGGACGAAACACTTCGACTTATCCCTGAGCGAAGGTTCCGACGTGCATCGCTGTACTTCTGTGCTGCCAGTTTCAAAGCGATTGATCAAGTCAGCAACTGAAGACGCGGACCCTGGCAAATTTCTAATTTTGCCAGTGGAGAATGAGGTCTTTCTTCGAAGTGGTGTCACTATAGCTGGTAACTCAGATCGCGGCACACCTCCGCCTTGTCGGTAAATGCCTTGGAAGCGCCTCAAACGTCCAGTATAAAAACCACTGCGACCGGAGGGTGAGATTTGGAATTCGTCGGACACTTCTAAATGTTCGAAGGGAAGTGTGGGAGAGGTTGCTCCTGCCGCAGCACTAGCAGTGGCGGCAGACCGGCATTGTAGCTCATCTAAAAACAAGCAAAATCGTTACCACAATGCTTCTAGAACAAAGAAACAACAGTTAAGGAACTCACATATTCAAACAGTATCACAACGTACTGGTATATCAGCCTTCCTGAAGAATACTCCACATATCGTAAAAACGAATATAAAAATAATCGATTCTGTTTAATTTTGCGGTCTCAAACGAAGCTACATTCAACATATCAATAAAACTGTTAATAAACGACCTTTATAAATGTCGAAGCTGTGCTCTAGTTTTCGTTTATATCGACGTTCAGGGAGGCCAGCAGCTTTGAGTACACCGCCCACACCCTCCCGCCAACGCGTCATCAGCTCTTCTTTGACAGCCTCGATGTCTTCCTCCGAGAGCTGCACACATAAAACTTCTCATGAACAACAGATCGATAGACTCGACACCACTTGAGCAACATCTGACGCCAACCAATCAAATAACTTATATGTAATAACACTCAAATAATAATGATAAGCGAGATACCTTCCAGTAAAAGCTTCATATTAACATTACAATTTGTTTAAAAAGTCAAACATGACTGACTTACTTCAAGGATCGAATTGCTCGATTGCGGGGAAGTGGAGGCCTGCGACTGCTGCGAGCAGGAACACGACGACTGAAGTGTGGGAGTTCGTGGCACATCAGGAATATCTTGAGACGACTGCAAAACCTGTGATGTTTCACAGCCGGAAGGCGGTCGCAGGAGACAAGGAGGCAAAGAAATGCTCCCTGGCGTTGAAATGGACGTGGCTGAATCTAAACGTTGCGGAGTGACGGACCCCTTGGTAGAGACAGCAAGTGGCGATAAAGTGGGGGAAGGCTTGACAATACTCGATTGATGTTGAGGTGAGCGAGGCTGGCAATAAGTCGACGACGGGTCTGGACTTATTGCCACGGGTCTGGAGGGCTGAACAAGCGACGGTGCGGACGAAGTAGAGCGTCCCGAGGCGCTAGCAGAAGGGCAGGGAGAAACGCCATCGCTCGAGTGGCAAGATCGCTCACAGAAGGGCAAGGTCGAGTCCTCCTCCATCTGCAGTAGCCACGTATTGATTACCTCTCTTAAAAAGTGTTAATTATATTTCCTAAAGCGTGCTAAATAGCACTTTTACTAGAAGCATCATTTACTCATTTAAATTACAATGATGAAATGAAATTACATGAATTATCAGAGGTCATATGAATGATCGGACATGCTCCCAATGTGAAGCAATTAAATGAAGGAATTTAATATTATATAGCATTTAAAATACTATAAAATAACATGGATACCTGATTAAATAGTAGAACTTTCCAATTTTTTAATATGGGATTACCTTCCGTGATAACAAAATTACATAAATTGGCAAAACAGAAAAGAATATAAAGAGTTTAGGAGATCGGCAGCTCACCGTGACAGCGGCCTGAATTTCCTTTTGTATATCCGAGCATTCGGCTGCAGACGCAAGATTATGAGAGTCCTGCAGAGTTCCTCCGCTTGCAGCACCAGGTCCCGCGCCCTGCAGAGTTCTTCCACCTGCAGCATAAGATCTCCTTCCTACAACATCAGGTCTCGCGAGAGGCGACTCAAGACGAGACGCAGCAAGCGGTGACCACCGCCGATTCAGGTGCCGGTTGAGCGGCTGTTCCTGCTGCAGAGGTAGGCTCTGAATCGTGAAGGTCTCTTGCGCGGCGCACTCACGCCTTGCCCATGACAGGGACTCGGCCCGGAGGTCCCGATCACCGTGTGGGGACACGTTGAAGGTTGTACCGCCGTTCTGAAGGAGGTAGCGGTGATGATGGGGCTGGATAGGTCCGGTATTGCTGAGCGCCGTGTGGATGACGATGGCGGGGGTGGAGTGGCTGACGGGCACCACACGTCCTAGTGACTGCAGCGTCGACCAGTCAACGTCTTCATGTTCCACGTGTGGATCTTCGTACTCAAACTCGGTGCTCAAGTCGCACTCCAACGTAGGCTCCTGAGGTCAAAATATTTACAAATAAACCTTTGTGGAGAGTAAAAAAGTAATTAATTAATTAAAAAGATAAGTACATAAAAAATAATATTTAGAAATAAACTTTTGTGGAGAGTAAAATAAATAATTGATTAATTGAAAAGATAAATAAAAAAAGATAGATTTCCATGTATGCGGATGGAGTAGTAGAAATCTGAGAAAATTGAAGGCTCGTGCTTCATCCAACAAACTAAAGCAGGTTTACTAATAAACATATTTGTCGACTTCTTAGTGCAACACAGACATTACATTTCACAGATTAAAAAGAAACATCTATTTAAGAAGCATAAACCTATCTTCACTGTAAACTTCCGTCCTATTCTCGACACCAGAGCGCTTGTTCAAGAAGCTTCTGCACCGCTCACCTCAGCGGTGCAGAAGCTTCTGCACCGCTGCCCTGAGTCTTACCCTTTTGTAGGTTATTCGTAATTAGTAATGCCCGGCGTATCAGAGCTACGTCAAAAAGAATGTCACAATTTGGACAATATGATCCTTTCATTTTTCTGCGGGGTTGTGATCAAATTACTGCAGTGACTCGCCTGCTGGGGGAGTGCTGAGGGCGCGCGTTCCTCCCTAAGGCGAGCACTCAGCTCCAGGTTCTCAGCCGTCACGTTCTGATGGACCAAAGAAATATACTGAATCAGAATTCCGAATCAGAATATACTGGATCAGAAATATACTGAATCACAGCGAACGCAATTGTATTGCTGCTACAGGCTGTTCATTTCCACAGGTGAGGCTAGAACCCTAATACTTAAATACGATTGTTTGCATTACTGATGTAGATTTTTAACGTGTATTCAATTCTTTAGTGGAACCTACACTGTCAGAAAAATCACCGTTAAACGGTCTCACCGGCGTTCTAGTGACCGGCCGGCGAGTGAAAAGAAACACCGTATGGCCGTTTTTATTCAAATTTAACACTCGAAACCCGTACATCTGGAAAAAACGGACAATCGGTTTATTTTCACTTGGCGGACGGAAACAAGAACGCCGGTGAGACCGTTTTTTACCGTTTTTTCGAACAGTGCATCAGTGTCAAATCTGTGACCCCCAATCCTGGATAAATCAAGGAAAATTTCAAAATCAAGAATTGCTAAACATTCGTGAATCTCAAATATACTTAAATAAACCGAGGGCTTTAACCTAAGCTTATTACTTCAGCATACACTCCGACAAATGCGTGAAACGTGACAAATTGACCCCTACGTGGGTCAACCTGGGCCAATTTGACTCGGCCAAAAAATATATTACATTGCAAAAGAGGTTTCGCTATTGGGACAATTTAACCCATGTATTTTCTGACTTTGTCGATCTGTAACACCTGTTCTCTAAGCTCGGCACAAGCTTCTGTTTTCAACATAGGATAGTAAAGTATAATCAGCGTTGAATAATAAGCTTTGAAATAATAAACATAGGATAGTAAAGTATATTCAGCGTTGAATAATAAGCTTTGAAATAATAAACATAGAATAGTAAAGTATATTCAGCGTTGAATAATAAGCTTTGAAATAATAAACATAGAATAGTAAAGTATGATCAGCGTTGAATAATAAGCTTTGAAATAATAAACATAGGATAGTAAAGTATGATCAGCGTTAAAGAATAAGCTTTGCATTGCAATGATCTTACCATATTGCATGGTAGATCATTGGTAGATACATACATATGGTAGATCATTGCATTGCAATGATCTACCATATGTGTGTCGGTATAACTAATAAGGGTGTGTTGGTGTCAGCGTCATCACCTTGTGCTGTTGTGCTAGCAGCTCCAGGTGCTGCTGCAGGAGAGCTATTTCAGCATCACGCTCCCCCAGGAGGACGGTGGTCTGCTTCAGCTGATCACGAAGGACGACGCTCGTTACCGCGGCCTCGTCTAAGGCCTTCTGCAGGTCCTGCTGTAGCTCCTCCGTCTGGGTACAATACAACGACATCATTAGGACGTTATAAATAAAAGAGCGCTTTCAGCGTTCATTAGGCCGTAGGCCTGTCGCCGATTCTTAACATAGCAGAACATCCACAGCTTGTTGCGGTCTCGAACGTGCAACTCACCGCTTCAATTCTGCTTTGCTTAACCGCCCGGCCTCCTTGCCGATTCCGACCAGAAACTGGCGCACAGAGCTGGGATCGAACCCGCGCCTCTCTGCGCCAATCTTGGTACTCTGAACTGTAACCGAACGACATACCAACTACAATACAACGACATCATCACGACGTTATGGCTATGCTATGCTAAAATATATGTTCAGACTTAAAATGCCTAGCACCTTATCGAACCCGGTGGAAGTCTTGTAGCTACTTCAAACTACCGTCAGTCTTGAAAAGATCCGGTCAAATGACACGATATTAGGTCTTCTGTGAACAAGGCACGAAAAGGAAAAGAATTGGCGACAGGCCACATCAGGCCTACACTTCAGCGTCAACATCACTATGTTATGTTATGTTATGATACTCATCTTTCTAACGCTGTGACACTGAGCATTAACACAAATAATGAACGAAACATTTGCCCTTAGTGTAAACGAAATAATGATATTTTTTTAATGAATACCGGATAGGCTAATCAATATTCTTTATGGAATGAGCAGGGTCTATAAATGCAATAAACCAGCGTCAGTGTTATTCGTACCTAAAAGCCTGGTAACGATAGTTACCGTCAATGGGTAACCTCAGTTTCCGGATACATTAAGCGGCTTCTACGTAATTCGTACCTAAACGCCTGTCAGTATTGTCAGTAGACTTAGAATGCAATGATAGTCATGAATAAATATTAAAAATATTAGAATGCAATGATGGTCCAGAATGAATATGATTAATATTATAATTTAAATATATAAATATTAATATTATTGGTCCAGAATTAAATCGCAAACAATTTTTGGCTCAGTGTCGTCTGGTGTCGTACCTGTTCCTGCAGCTGGAGGTAAGCTTCTTCTTTCTGCGCCAACTGCCGCTGCAGACGCTGCACCTGCAGACTGAGTGCTGCAGAGTTCTGCAGCTCCTGCACGTGTCGGTCCTGCTGATCCTGCAGCTGCTGTAGCTCTTCTGTTGCGTTGTACAGCTCAGTCTGCAGGCTGTGTGCACAATAGTAATAAAACAATACAACGTTCACAATACTCAATAGGAAATTAGCACAAGAAATTTTTAACATAATAAAAGTTCAACACAATAGAGTTAAACACAATAAAAAGTTAACACCAAAGAAATTTGGTGTTAAAAAAATATAACTTGAACACAATAAAAGTTTAACACAATGAAAGTTTAACACGATACATATGGAACACAACAAAAGATTAATACAATAAAAGTTTAACACAATTGGCGGTTAAACCAAAGAAAGTTTGACACAATAAAAGTTGAACACAATACAAATGGAACACAACGAAAGATTAACACAATAAAAGTTTACCACACTGAAAGTTTAACACAATAGGAGGTTAACACAATAAAAGTAGAACACAATACGAATGTAACACAACGAAAGAATAAGAGAAGTAAGCAGTACCTGATGGCACGCTGCTCGAGCTGAGCACAGCGGGCGTTGAGCTGACCGTTGAGCTCCTCAGCGCAGGTCAGCTGGTCCTTCACACGCGCTTCTCGTGCACGCGCGTCAGCACACGTCGCCCTCGCTGCATCCAGCTCCTCGCGCAGCTCATGCGCGTCTCTGTTAAAATGTTTTATTTTATTATATTATAATTAAAGAACTCATTGAGAGCGCAAAATATGCTGACGAAATGCAATATTAGAATGGATAAGTGTTGGAAAATTTACTACAAGCCTATTCTTAACTGGTTAATACTTCTACAAACCTATTCTCAACTGGTCAAGATTCCCATTCCACTGATGATCATAATGATCAGGAAATGAAGTCCCCGATGATGCGATCATGAACGCTGTTTCGAGTCTACTCTCAACAAAATAAACAGCTACTTGCTAGACTCAACAATCGGTAATTATGGAACATCTAAAACTGGAATTTGATTAACATCACTTTTGACGTGACAGCTACAGAACCTGATTGATATCGCAAGGTTTTCCGCAACAACAGACTTGATGGCAACCGAACACGCGTGTCGTCGAAAGTTTGCCGCAACAGACATCAATCGACAGACACAGATAGTAACAGTCGGCACCAGATAGCAACAGACAGCGCCACACAGCACCAACAGACAGCACCAGACAGCACCATGGGCACCAACAGACAGCACAGCACCATGGGCACCAACAGACAGCACCAGACACCACAGACACCACCAGACACCACCAGGCACCACCAGACACCACCAGTCACCAGACAGCCCCAGACACCACCAGACACCACCAGACACCACCAGGCACCACCAGAGCACCAGACAGCCCCAGACACCACCAGACACCACCAGACAGCACCAGACAGCACCAGACACCATCAGACAGCACCAGACAGCACCAGACTCCACCAGACAGCACCAGACAGCACCAGACACCACCAGACAGCACCAGGCACCACCAGACAGCCCCAGACACCACCAGACAGCACCAGACAGCACCAGACTCCACCAGACAGCACCAGACAGCACCAGCCACCAGACAGCACCAGGCACCACCAGACAGCCCCAGACACCACCAGGCACCACCAGAGCACCAGACAGCCCCAGACACCACCAGACACCACCAGGCACCACCAGACAGCCCCAGACACCACCAGACACCATCAGACAGCACCAGACAGCACCAGACACCACCAGACAGCCCCAGACACCACCAGACACCATCAGACAGCACCAGACAGCACCAGACACCACCAGACAGCCCCAGACACCACCAGACTCCACCAGACTCCACCAGACAGCACCAGACACCACCAGACACCACCAGACACCACCAGACACCAGCGTCACTCACTCGACGTGTCTGAGGTCGTAGGCTTTGGTGAGGTAGTGCGTGGGCGACGCGGCTATCACTCTGCGTGGCGTCGAGTGGTCGGCGGCGGAGGCTCTGCTCACAGTCAACAATCGTAAAAAAATTGACAAAATCATCTATTAGAAATAATGTCTTTTGCAAACATTTATTGCACCTATTGTTTTTATTAGTAGTACTAGTTAGGATATAGTAAGTCTTTTGATACAAGAACCAGCATTACATCTTAAATAAATTGCTCCATAATTATTCGCATGGCAGGCTCACGAAATGCTGATTATCTTGACGGCATCAAAAAACGATTTAAACATCTTATCTTGTTCGTACGACAACAAAACTTATTTTTACTGAGTTTTTAGTTATTTTCCGCAAACACAGACCAACGTATAACTAAAAAAAAGACGAAAAAGTAGTGCAAATCAGAACTGGAGCGATGTATTGAAGGATCACAAATATTAATACGAATGCGCGGTCGCATCGTCGGCATCAACTGGCGCCAAGCAGAATAAGCACCAGGCAATAGATACCAGATGCCATGATATCGAAAATATTTACGAGTTTTCAACTCCGTCAGCCAATCACCGACGGCTTATCAAGCTAAAATCACCAATTAGAGACGAGAAAGCGGCCGTTACATGCAGTTAGGCCTCTACGTGTGCGTATGAGAGTTTAGATAGTATGGCCCCAGATGCTACCGTCCCACGCTTGGCGCACTCGAGATAACATGAGATAAAACAGAATAGCGTAAATAGAGTACAAAGATTGAAATGCCAGCGATAAAAACTCAGGAAGAAGCATCAGGTGGAAGGAAATAGGAACAACAAAGGGGGAACTGAAGCAGGGGCAAAGACAAAGATCGTAAAAACAAGTGGGCTGATTAAAATAAAGTCAGTATTAGAACAAAAAAGAACTAATTTTTTAAAGCAAGATGACCATCATAAGATGGAGATAAACAATGATATACCGTACATACGGTCAAGTGGAGTAAAGGATAATAATTGAATTTAGGATAGGAGATTAAGGATTTAATTGAAGTATACTTAATTTATGATTCCAAGAGGAAATATAATAAGTTTATATAGTCATTAAAGGAAGCAGCTCACCGCGCAGGAGAGGACGGGGGCCACTTGAGAGCCTGCTCCATCACCATGCTCGTCGAGGGCTTGCCACAGAAGACCTGCCCGGGGGGGAATCAAACTTAAACTTAGTTCTGGACCGGGAGGGGGGGATCAAACTTGAACTTGGTTCTGGATATATCTAGTCGAAATTATATTGATAAATTTGTTAAAAAAAATTTGTGGATAAATCTATTCAAAAAGTTTTTCATAAATCTGTTCCTAAAGTTGTTGATAAATCTGATCAAAAAGTTGTGGATGAATCTGGTCAAAAATGTTTTGGATGAATCTGGTCAATAAAGTTGTTGATAAATCTGGTCAAAAAGATTTGGTTAAACCTGGTCAAAAAGTTTTGGATGAATCTGGTCAAAAAAGTTTTTGATAAATCTGGTAAAAAATTTTTGGTAAATCTGGTCAAAAAGATTTGGTTAAACCTGGTCAAAAAGTTTTGGATGAATCTGGTCAAAAAGTTTTGGATGAATCTGGTAAAAAAGTTTTGGATGAATCTGGTTTAAAAGTCTCGGCTAAATTTGGTCAAAAATTTTGGACAAATCTTGTTAAAAGGCATGTTCTCAGATTTCCAAAAGGCAATGTCAAGAACATAACATGTGTTGGCGACAGGCCAAACTTCTCCTATTCACTCAGTGCCCAAGGAACCAAACTATACTTGAGACATAAGGTACCGTAAAATCATAAATAATTAAGAATTTATTACCCCGTCAGCCAATCACTGACAGCTTTTCAACCTAAACACATCAATCATAAACGAGAAATCGGCCGCTACGTGTACATTGGCGAGTTTTGAGTAGTACGGCCTATGGGCTTGAATACATCTGATTTATAACCGTACAAGTGCATGGAAAACTAAAGCCTTTTGTATGGTCTTGATTTCTTGCACCGTTAGTGTACATGCAGACGGCTGGTCAGCTGCACGGCTGGTCAGCTGCACGGCTGGTCAGCTGCACGGCTGGTCAGCTGCACGGCTGGTCAGCTGCCGGCTTTTAGATACGAATAGCACTGACAAGTGAACGTTTATTTATTCTTTGCAGGGTTAAACCCTTTATCTACTGCCGGTAACTCTCGTTACCACGACTTCTGGTACGAATAGCATTGACAGCAATTATTACAACCGAAGAGAAGATCTTACGGCAGACCTGCAGGGTGTTAGGTAGGAATATCATTGACGACGGTTACTACAACCGTAGAGAATATGTCACGACTGACCTGCAGGGCTTTAGTTAGTAATATCACTGACGACGGTTATTATAACCGTAGAGAAGAGATTACGACAGACCTGCAGGGTGTTAGGGAGGAATATCACTGACGACGGTAACTATAACCGTAGAGAAGACCTTACGACAGACCTGCAGGGGTTTAGGTAGGAATATCACTGACGACGGTAACTTTAGATGAAGGGTAAATAATTAAACTACCATACACTACAGGTATAAGTTATGAATAGATAAATTATAATGGTATTGTCTGACATTTTGTGAGGTTCCGAGCGTTGTACATTGAAAGTGCAAATGGTCATAAGCAGTCATTCATCATTGGGAAATATTTAACTGTTAAGGAGTGGTCCCGGCAGCAGCACTAAAGTCCTCCATAAACTTCAACATGATAATATTGTGGTATAATGCAATAAAAATAGCATAAATTAAGGGATATTAATGTGGCATAAAAAACATAAATTAAGGGATATTAATGTGGCATAAAGCATAAAAACATAAATTAAGGGATATTAATGTGGCATAAAGCATAAAAACATATATTAAGACATTTTAATGTGGCATAGAGCATAAAAAAACAAATTAAGGGATATTAATGTGGCATAGAGCATAAAAACAAATTAAGAGCAGCACCTGGGCAGATGAGCGAAGACGTCGTCGGAGCGACGACAGAGCGCGTCCGTGGCGACCGTACCGTCCGCATCAGGCAGGCACTCGGCGAACACCCACTCCGCCATGCTCCCTGTGGGGATGAGATAACAACACACACTTAAAATGAGCAAAACTTGTCCACATAGCGAGGTACAGAACACAATTTTAATGGGCTCTCTACATGATGGCAACTTACACACAGAGAAATGGACTCGTAATGTTCTCCAAATAGTTACGTACTTAATATTCTTTTTTAACCACAACAGGAGCAGAGGGATACGCTCTCTTTTGCCGGGCCAAATTAAGTCAAGGTGATCCACACAAGAGCGTATCGCTATTTGGACAAATTTCCACGCATTACTCGGAATACAGCGCAGTTATTGACGTAAAGTATGTTGTATTAGATGAAGGCTGACGCTCACCTGGGTGGTAGAAGTTCTGCGTGGCATGTGATGCGTCAAGACCGGAGGAAGCCTGGGTTCTCAGGTCGAAGGCTGATCTTGNATTGAGGTAAAGTATGTTGTATTAGGTGAAGGCTGACGCTCACCTTGATTAAATACAGCGCAGTTATTGACGTAAAGTATGTTGTATTAGGTGAAGGCTGACGCTGACCTGGGTGGTAGAAGTTCTGCGTAGCATGCGATGCGTCAAGACCGGAGGAAGCCTGGGTTCTCAGGTCGAAGGCTGATCTTGAGGCTGACGCATACGGCGACTCAGGCGTACCCCAGACGGAGCTTTCGCCGCGCCCTTCGAAGACGCGACACGGCGTGACCAATGGCACGCACTTACGAGGCTCCTGTGAGAGGATGATAATAGCGGTTTATAATAGCGGTTTATAATAGCGGTTTCAGCGTTAGTAGGCCTGTCACCGATTCTTAACATCGCAGAACATTCACAGCATTTTTGCGGTCTCGAACTCGCAACTCACTGCTACAATTTTGCTTTGCTTAACCGCCCGGCCTCCTTGCCGATTCTGACCAGAAACTGGCGCACAGAGCTGGGATCGAACCCGCGCCACTCTGCGCCAATCTTGGTACTCTGAACTGTAACCACTGGGCCAGAAATAACGAGAAATTACATCTACGCATTAGATTTTACATGGAAATTAAGAAACTATAAACGCGGGGAACTTGTGAGGAGGCGTATACCATAGAGTAAATGCAAGCTATCGCCTCGGATTGAATGAGTCATGTTCAAAGGTGATCGTTCGTCGTCGTGCTCCATAGATATACATATATATTAACTTTGAATCGATCGAAATCATACATAAATGCATCATAGCATCAGAAAACATTAAATTGCTTTATTAGCCTTTGGTTCGACACTAAGCGCAAAACATTTCTTGACATCAAAGAATGATGACTCATTAGCTGTTAAGATAAAGTTACTGGCCAGATGGAAGGCCGCTCATCGTTATACGTGCAAAAGGTCACTGGTTGTTTCAGTCTTCGTATCCCATGCTTGATCTTTACTTGAGCTTGTCCATGCAGTAGTGACCTCTTGCAAATAATGGATCTTTCCTTGTTTAAACTTAAAATTTAAATTGACTTGCGGGTATAGAGACAAGAGACTCAAAATAATACGAGTTAACTAAAAAATAAATAAAATTAAGAGAACTTATCTTGAATGCATGTAACATTTAAGAACATTCTGTTATATATTACTTGTTAAAATTACTGACAACTACTTACTATTATTCGCAGCAATAACACTTCCGATATGAATTCAAAGACCACAACGAAAATACAAAATTCCAAACCTAAAGGTTGGCAAGGTCATTGGGCATTATATATAAAAAATATACGTATATAATTATGCTCAAATAAGGAAAGTTTACAAAGATTATATAGTGTCGACATTAACGTTAAAACCTATCGCTAAAAAATTATTTACAATAACGAACTGTTGCCATGAGAAATTTCGTACGATAATTGATCGATGGTGCTCGAATTCAATGACATATTCTATAAAATTAATCATCTTATATATTAAACGCATACGGCTCACTTTGGTCCGAAAGTTGACTCTCTGTAGGAGGTGGACTGGCGAGGCGCTAGAGTCGTCATTCAAGGAGCGCCCTTCTTCAGTGGCTACACGACTGTTCTGAAGAGACTGCTGGTCCAGTGGAGTGGTCACAGGATGGTCAGGGTGTGACGTGGCCGCTGGATGGTCAGGATATGACGTGGCCGCAGGATGGTTAGGGTGTGACGTGGCCGCAGGATGGTCAGGGTGTGACGTGGCCGCAGGATGGTCAGTGTGTGACGTGGCCGCAGGATGGTCAGGATATGACGTGGCCGCAGGATGGTCAGGATATGACGTGGCCGCAGGATGGTCAGTGTGTGATGTGGCCACATGATGGTCAGTGTCAGAGCTGGCGACGAGCGGTATGCATGTTGAGGTGTCCAGAAGACGAGGCGCGACATTCACTCTGCTTAGGTCAGGTGAGTGCGATTCCGTAAGGGCTGGGGAGCTGTCTTTTTTCGTTGGTGTGAAGTTATATGAAACGTCAATGGTGTTTCCGTTGGGTGCTTCAAGCGCCTTTTGTAAGGTTTTTGGAGTCATGGTTGCTTCCTCAAAAGAAATTGGGGACCTGCTAGGATTTGAGTCATCTGGATCAGCGAAAGCAGCAATGTCATGGAGCCCAATAGTGGTTGTTTCAAACGAAATACTTGCGACCTCGTGACCAGGGCTGTAGGTACTCTCGCATGTCGACTGCGTATTCGTCGCCTCATCATCTAAACCAGTCGTCGATACAATGAAAGTGGTTCCACCAGTTGAAGTACGAGATTCAGTTTCAATTGTAGTTGTTACGTCATCGTTTGCAGGATGATCGGCCCGGGATGGGGGGCGTATGGCTCCACCATATGACGAAACAAAAGCATAGGGAGCAACCGTCAAAGCTTTTTTGTTAGGTGATGCACTGGAATCTCTCTCCATATCAGCTGAACATGGCGTCTGAGGTGCCGAGTGAATCTGAGGTACTTTGAGATAGCTTTCGTGAACAGGACTTGCAGAAAGTGAACGATGACAAAGAGATGTTCGATGAGCTGAGTGAAAGGATTTCTGATAAGATGTAGGGGAAGAAATTCCATCACTTGCAAAAAATGTTGGAGGAGACATACGATGAGTGGTTTCATGTGACCTTTGATCGGTTGTTTGAGGAGAAATACAGTCAGTTGTAGGAGATATCTCATTTGTTGGAGGAGATATTCGAGAAGTAGATTCGTGAGACGTTTGATCAGTTGTTTGAGAATACATCCCTTGAGTTGTAGGAGGAGACATCTGTTCAGTTGTAGGAGGAGACATCCGTTCAGTTGTAGGAGGAAACATCCGTTCAGTTGTAGGAGGAGACATCCGTTCAGTTGTAGGAGGAGACATTCGTTCAGTTGTAGGAGGTGACATCCATTCAGTTTTAGGAGGAAACATCCGTTCAGTTATAGGAGGAGACATCCATTCAGTTGTAGGAGGAGACATCTGTTCAGTTGTAGGGAGAGACATCCGTTCAATTGTAGGAGACATCCTTTCAGTTGCAGGAGGAGACATCTGACCAGTTGTATGAGAAGACATGTGATCAGTTGTTGGATGGAGAATTTGGTTCCCTGTATTTTCTACACTTTTAAATATTTCTTCTCCAGTGTGAGTTGCTACTGGGTCAGATGAAGGAGATAATGTTTGTTCAGTTTTAGAAGATGAAGTCTGCATTCTTGTTAGATGCATTGTCTGACATGCATCAGCAGCTAGTTGATAATTTCTTCCATGCAGAACATTTGACTCATCAGAATGTTTAAATGGTGCACTGCCTCCAGCTTTGGGAAACTCATCAAATTTCAACCCCACATCTTGTTCAGGTAAAGGGAGCAGCATTTTGGCTTGCAAGCTGCAAGTTTTCACTGCTTTCTCTGCATCAAGATTCATTGAGCATACACTCTCTGCATTTTGGTTTTCTTCAGTCGAAGGTAACTCGATGTGAACACCACAACTAGAAATGCTAACTTTAAGAGAATTTTCTAGACTTTTTGATGGTGAGTAGGGAGATGTTGAGGTGTCAAGCTTATCATCTAAACGAAGTGCTTTCAGTAAATCACTCATACTCTCATCAGAAACATCATGCACTGGAGTGCAGCTGAGGTTCAAAAATTTACATGTATCATCATTTGCACTACTCTGGTCAGAAATTGCATCATTGCTGGACTTATTTCGATAATCAAGATCAAAAGATATCAAAAGACCACCAGCATCAGAAATTTCATTGAGATTTGCTACACTTGTTTTTCCAGCAAGTCCACCATGATTTTGAGCATGAAAAACTGGCAACTCTTTCACCTGGAGCACTTCATTGTGTTTTTCAATAGTTTCAGTATTTTTAAGATCTCTGCTCTTGTCTTCATCTTTCTCCTTCCCAAAATTACCACTTAGTAAGAAAGTGTCACTTGTGTCAATACCATGAATGGTCTGCATTAGCACACTATCAGAAACCTTCCATAAGTCAGCTATGGACTGATATAAATCATCCTCTTCTGAAGATTTCCTTCTTTTACAGCAAGTAACATTCATGTCAGATGAAGTAGGAGAATCAGAGGAGTCTACCAGTATGCTGTCAGTTACTTGACTGAGAGAAGAGTAATTCTTATCAACAACAGTCAATGATTCAATAATAGGGTTGATCACACCACCTCTATGTATAACTATAGTTTCAGAAGACTTTTTGGGAAAAATTGACCAATCTTGATCAGACTCTTCATTCAAATTGCTTGTAATGGTAGCAGCATTTTCTCTGAGTAGATCTTGTGATTCTTTACTTATGTTTTGGTGGTCATAATTCAAGTGGTCAACTTCATGGAAGTCAACATTTTGTCTGATATGGGTCAAATGTTGAGTCTCCTCAGTGGGATTTAAAGCCTCATCAGAGTAGACTGAATCCAATATAGAGTCAACTGGTATTTTTTGTTTGTTGTACTCACGTAATGAAAAATCCATCAAATTCATTGCTTCTTTCAGTGAACACTTTGAATTTTCTACAATATTCTGGTCCAATTCTGAAAAGTGCATCATATCACTATTCTGTGAATGTATGTTCTTCTGGTCAGTGTTGAGAGTCTTGATTGGTTTGTCAACATCAGGCAGAGAGAAAGTTTGTTCTGGACAATATATTGCACTTGCCTCTGCATTATCCACAGACTTGACTCTATGCAGAATATCGTCTAATTTCATAGTGCTGCAGAATGTTTTTGCTTCTCCTTTTGAATGATGGGCTTTAGCTGATGAATCTGAAGTACTTCTTTGAAGACCTATAGGTTTAATTGGAGTGAGATGGCAGTCGTGCAAAGTTGAAGAGTGTGGAAGAAGAAAACATCTTTCTTTCTTGGCCTTGCCAAAGTGCTCTTCTGTTTGCTTAGATAAATGTTTATTATCAACTGTATAGGGCATCTTGCAAAAGGTCATTAACCTACTGAAACTTTTAAATCTATAGAAAAAGAAGCAAATTATAATATCAATATGTAGGTATATAATTAGGCCTAATCAGAAAACTAAACTGGCAGTCTGGCATTCACATAATCTGAATAAAATTTAAAAGTATACACATACACATATAGGCTAAGATATATATAGAAGGAGTAAAAAGAACAATAATACTTGCAGCCTGCTTCTACTTCTAGCACCACAAAGCAATAGCAAGGCAAGGTTCAAGGTGGACTTCAAGGCTCAAGCAATAACCTAAAATAACCAGATAAGATTAAGAAAGAATCAATTTATTGGCAATTTTTTTGAAATAAATAAATAGCTAGAATGAAAACAAGTAATACAAAAAGAATAAAATTATAAATAACTGCCAGTCTGCCAGAGTTTTGCCTTAAATGTCATTATTAACCACAACCTGGAGGCTGGACCTGGCCATAACAGAAACAAAAGCCCATTTGCAAAAAAAAATGCCTAATACAACCACATCTTCAAAACTGAAGCCAGTAAAGGATAAAAATGAACTCTATTACCATAATATTGAAAAACTTTAAATTCTGAAACATTAACATTAAAGTACTAGGTACCTAAAAGTAGGAACATGCACTCAGCACTGGACAGTCTGGAAGACTGGAATGGAGCATAAATTATTAACTCAACATTCAACAACAAAGTAGATGTTATGACTCCGCAGTCCTAACTTCTGTTGTCCTAACTCATCATTATTCATTATGCTAAATCATTTAATGCTAATTGAATAGCGAGTACCACGTAGTACGTTACTGTACGTACCATAGGCAGAGCTGAGAGCTCTTACGTTAAGTTACGTAATTAACAATTGTACATTACTGCTGCAAAATCTCACAAATAAATCTTCAAAATGCAATTCACGAGATACACAAATCATTCCGGCACAATTTTCAAGAAAAAAATTAGTTTTTCAGTACGTAAAAGTAACTTTGGCTTGAACCTTTCGTTTCTGATGTCACGGTAAAAATGCAGCCTATCCGGTAGTGCCGGTACTAACTTACTAAGTACTATTAGCAATGCATAGTGCCTCTGGCGCTTGCCCTTGCTGTCCCAAAGTGTACAAATACGTCAAATAGGGAACAGCAGCTGCACTCATTCATATATTACTCGGTTTTTTACTCATATGATACGTTTAAGGATATCTATAAGGAAGATGTGTTCACTAAGGTTGAGCGATAAACAACCTTTTAGTGGAAATTCGCTATCCTGATATGATTTTTTAACACCTGACAAACGAATCCTCTTCAATTGATTTTCCAAAAGAGCAATCTCTAGATTTGGCGCAAGTCCATTGAAGATTAGAAAGAACGAAAATTTCGGCTTTTGAATTCAATATTAAATTTTTCAAAGTCAACCTGGATCATTGAGCTGATGCTTAAATATTTAGAAATCAGTTACAAATCAGTAAACTAAATATGACACGAATAGATCGATGCTAAGAATTCTTTCATCCTCATTCGCAAATTAATTAACCGACGCTCGATTACCTGTCCAACCTCTCTTCCTTGCTTTGGTTGACTGTCGCGTATATATCTGTGGGTCTGTAGTTTTTTCTCTATGATCATCTTGGGATTTATATTTCGTGCATTTAGCCGCATTTTATCTTTATTCCAATAATTGCGCATCAATAAAAACTTAGTTTCAGAAAGAAATGATATTCGCATGCAATTACGCCACTAGAACCTAAAACGGCTGGTTGTAAACACGTCCACGATTATAACAGGTCATGATATTGAGAGTTAGGTTGTTGAAAATTGCAGCATTAGTGAAAGAATATTACCAACATGCCAAGGTCCTTAAAATATGTGTTGTCTGAGCGATAATAAGGAAATAACAATTCTGGCCAATAATCAAGATGACCGCAGGCCAAAAAGATTCCCTACAGACCCACAGAAACTCACGCGATCTTGAAATCCTCTGTTCATCCTTTGGGGTGGGGAATCGCGCGGCGGCTGACTCGCGAATGAGGCAATAAACCTTGGAACACACGTCGGCGCGTGCAAGAGTGGGATATCATTTGACAATAATAATAGTTTAAATATCATATCAAGATGATAAACGACAAAAAAGATTCCCTACAGGCCTACAGAAACTCGCGCGATCGTGAAATCCTCTGTTCAGCCTAGGCGGGATGGGACGGTTGGGGCAGGGAATCGCGCGTCGGCTAACTTGCGAATGACCCAATGAAACCTTGGAACACACGTGAAACACGCACACATGAGTGGGTGTAGTCTGCACAACGACTGACCTCTGTGGCACTCCTGGTATTTTTGCTGCGACCACTACTTTGACTCCGGAAATCTACCTCTGCGCTGCAGCGCTGGTGTGAACCAGCCGCCATATATCCTGCCCTACGCCAGCCATTCACCGAAGGATTTCTTTGTGCTTCAGATATGTAACCCTATCCTCGGGGCACGAAGCAAGTGGTATTGATGTGCTAAATCCTGTCACTTAAGACCATCATAAATAATGAATCCTTATTATCGATATCTCCAATCTTTAAGTTATAGCTGTATTTAAATTAGGCCTCTTTGGCAGAGTAGTTGCTACCGCCATTCGGCAGCACAGAGCAAATTCTTGGTATTGATAGCATTTTACCATATTGCGAATTTTTCACTAAAGAAAAGATAATGCCTGCAAATTTGTGGGTACAATGGTATGTTGCTGAATGGCATGAACGTATTGACTTCAAAACCTCAGCATAATTGCCTTCAAACTTTTCAAACATTTTCCATTTGAGGGTTTCTACTTCGATGCCAAGCACTCAGTCTTCGGTATTTTTTAAATTTTATCAAAAATTTCCTCTTCAGCAATGAGCGTTCTTTCATTAATTCGCGGTATCTGCAATGATTCGTTCTCGCTCATAAACATACACGCCGCAGTCGTTCCCAATTGCCTGCATAGGCAGTTCATCGGGCTTATAGGTTTTTTCATAATCAAGTCAAAATTTGGAAACGGCTTATGTACATCTGCTATGTAAATCAGCAAATGGGGTGACCCAGTGGTTAAAGTTCAGAATACCAAGATTAGCGCAGAGAGGCGCGGGTTCGATCCCAGCTCTGTGCGCCAGTTTCTGGTTAGAATCGGCGAGGAGGCCGGGCGGTTAAAGCACAGCAGAATTGTAGCAGTGAGTTGTGAGTTCGAGGCCGCAAAATGCTGTGGATGTTCTGCGATATTAAGAATCGGCGACAGGCCTACGGCCTAATGAACGATGATACCGCTATTATTATATATTTATATTATTATTAAATGGAAGTGCGGTGGGCTTTATTGTTTCGGTCCCTAAACCGCATAGTAACTGTGTAAGGAAATCCTAGGATCAATTTTACAATCAGCCAAATGTCGTACTATCGCAAACTCATCGCTACTGTAAAGCACATCCAGGATCATAATTTCATTGTCTGTAAAAACAGAATCAACAAAAAAAAAGGCAGTATCTCTCACTTTGCACAATGTCCGCTTACTGGCCAAAAGCAGATTTTTTTAATACTGTAATTTTTTGGTAGATCTTAATCCTAATCCTCCAGATCCTATCAATCTTAACTGCGTTGCAACTCATCGACGCGACAACACTTCTCGCTGCGAGTGATCGACATATGGAATAGCCTCCCGATTACATCGTTGACGCTCCGAGTATGAACGTGTTTAATTAAGAACAGAATATATAATAATATAACAATAATATTGGCATCAGTCCATCTCGAAAGATGATGGTTGCGCCACGTCTGTCACCTGCACAACACGCTGTTGACAGCGCCTTGAGCGGCTCGTCAGGCCGATTCGGGCATGGCAGTCCCGACCGCAGTTGGCGCAGATGAAGTCCGATGGTGCGACGTTTTTCTGAGCCTGCTATAGCTTTTCCGGAGACGGCGCTTGTCTTCAAGCCTCCGACTGCGAAGCTCTTCGTCCCTCTGAACTCCCTCCCGAACAGCCCGTTTCCAACCGCATCGCTGTCTGCAAGCTGCTCCCAGATTTGGGGAGGTCGATATCTGCTGTTCTGAGGCTGCGCTTGCAGACATCTTTGAAACACCGGTCGGGCGCGTGCCTGTGGCTATTTCTCCGTAGAGCAGGTCCTTGGGAATGCGACCATCCCGCCTGCGATGCACATGACCGAGCCACATGAGACGGCGCTGGCACAGTAGGAGATGCATGCACATTGTGCAAGATTGTTCCAAAAGAGCGGTGTTTGTGACTCTGTCTTCCCATGTGATGCTAAGGATGCGACGGAGGCAGCGAAGGTGGAAGCACTCTAGGCGGTTTTCCTGTTTGGCGTACGTAGTCAAGGATTCGCTGCCGTATAGAAGGGTACTAAGGACGCACGCCTGGTAGGCTGGTACACATCAAGCTTTAAGCTCATCCCGCTTGTTTGACCACACCCTTTCGTTCAGTCTGGCCATCACACCAGCCGCTTTGGTAATCCTCTGGTCAACCTCGCTGTCGAGAGACAAGTTGCTGATGGTGAAGCCCAGGTAGTTGAAATACTAGGCGACTTCGATCTGTTCACCGTCAATAGTAATAGATGGGATCGCTAATACGTACTGGCCCAC